AGATTCCACTGTGTTTAATTTCATTTTTCACAAACCTGGTTAGTGAAAAAAAACCAAGGAAACCTGTTCCAACAAATTGATCTGCTTCTAATTAAGCCAACTGCAAATCACAAGTTATGAAACAGGCATAAAGCAAACTGTAATTTCTGGTCCATACGTAAGAACTAAGGAGGATTAGTAGAAAGAAAAAGCAAATGTTAGCAGCATGATCTTTCTCCTGGCTGTAGAGGAGGAAGAGATAGGAAATGAGTTAATTCTTTGGATTAATTCAGATTCGTTCCAGTTTTCACATCAGCATTACTCCATTTGATTCTTGCTGATTTACCTTCTCTATTTAGTCATGCAAGTCTATCTTTAGTCACAACCTAATCCAACTTCTATTTGCCGCACTAATGTCATTTCATTTGGGACCGCTATTTATTCAACACCATGGTTTTGATGGATAACCATTGCAGGCATTTTTGGGAAATAAAAAGTGGGATGATTTGGTATAGCTGTGTAACTAACTACAACAAATATACTTTAAATCACGGTTCTCAATGTGGAGCAGATGCCATCCAGATAGCCATGCCGCATTTCTAGGGGATTGCCCAAACATAACTGCCAGGCATGTGATCAATTTGTCATAACCTTCACATATCTATGCTAACTTAAGCAGCTGAATATTACTGTAGCTTATAGTAGTAAATATCTTTATAGTAACTATGGGTAGGTTATGGTCACAAAAGTAAATGGGGTTCAGAAATTGTGCCATAGAACAATAGTCTCAAAAGAAATCTCCTCTCAGGAGAGGAGAAGCAAATACAAGTAGCTGTTGTCTTACGGCTACTATTGAGCGCAACATTTCCCTTGCTGGTCAAGGCTGTTGTTAAGTGAGTTGTGTTTCATTTTATGACCTTTTGCTACTATTAAGTGAAACATTTGAGTTGTTAAGCGTATCATGCAATCATTAAACGAATCTGGCTTCTCCCATAGACTTTGCTTGTCGAAGCCAGCTGAGAAATGGTGATAACAACATGTTTCCAGGACAGTGCAACTATTGCCAAGTGCCCAAATTTTGATCACATGATCGTGGGAATGCTGCAATGGTGATAAGTGAAAACTGGTCATACGACACTTTTTTCAGGGCTGATATACCGTATTTTTCGGAGTATAAGACGAACCTTTTTCCCTCAAGAGGGTGAAAATCTGAGTGCATCTTATACACTGAATGCAGCATTTTTTGCCTCTCGAAGCCCCACCCTCTTTGCAAAAATGGCCATGCATAGCCTTTAGGAGGCCTCCAGAGTGCTCCTGGGGGTTGCGAAGGGCACAAATGAGCGAAAAACAGGCCGTTTTTTGCTTCTTTTTGCTCCCCCCCAGCCCCCAGGAGCACTCCGGAGGCCTCCTAAAGGCTATGCATGTCCTTTTTTTTGCCAAAAATGGGCCCATTTTTGCAAAAAACCAGGCCATTTTTGGGAGGTTTGCTGAGTGCAAAATTTTTTTTTTTTTGTAATTTGCTTCTTCAAAATCTTGGTGCATCTCATAATCCGAAAAATACAGTAACTTCAGTTACTAAAGAAATGGTTGTAAATTGAGGACTATCTGTATCTAGATTTAATCCAAGGCAGTGACCATGATGAACTAAAAGAAAAGAATGAGTACTAAAGAAAGCTATTACATTTTGCATGCATGCAAGTGGGAAACTCTGTCCCAACACTTAAATCTTAACAGAGGCACAACTGACTGCAGAAAGATTTGTGAAAAAGGTGAAAAGAGATTCCCTTTTTCTAATGAGAACATAGTATAAAAACTGACAGAAAATAGTATAAGATGATATGTTGTGTGTGCATACTTTCAAGTCATAGTTGACTTCAGGAGACTGTCTGGGCAAGTCCCTGCAATTTGCTTCGTAAGATTTTGGAAGTGTTTGCTCATAGCTAGGGGTGAGAGACAGTGACTAACCTAAAGTCAACTAGCTGGCTTTGTGTTTAAGGGAGGAAGGACTACAATTCAGTCTCCGGGCTACTAGCCTGATGCTTACTAGCTTCCCATTACACCAAACTGGCTCTAAAGATAATAAGGATTTTTTTAAAAAATGGCAAAAACTTTTAAGAGAAATAGCAAGACCTTATTTCAGTTTTAGGGGAAAATCAGTCAGAAAAGCGGCTAGCACTTTTGATTGCTTGATTACATGACAGCAAGTTGATATTAAGTCTTCGTCCCTATTATATCAGAAGGCTGTTTGAGGCTTGTGGCAAAGGAAAGGACTTGTAATTTAGCTGCTCCCAGGGCTGAAAGGCAACACCAGATGATTAGAAGGTCCATAGGTATCATTTCATGCTTTGCTATTATTATTATTCTGTGTTATGTTATTGATTACAGTATGATGCTATTGTTTACCATTTTAGTTTCCATCCTAGTTATTAGAACTGAACACTGATCTGATTAAAATATTGAAATGACATAAAAACCCAAGTAAATAATTAATGAATGGCAGATCAGGGATGAGCAAGCCCACAGGACACAAACCACATACTAACATGCCATGGTTTTTCCTAACATACATACCAACACTTATACTTCCCTTGTGATACAATACTGTAAAATCAGCTGCAAAGTTACTATATACATAAACTTTAATACTAATACAGGTAGTCCTCAACTTTTAACCATTCATTTAGTGACCGTTCAAAGTTACAACAGCAATGAAAAAAGTGACTTGGTCATGTGATCAAATTTCAGATGCTTGGCAACTGGCTCATATTTATGACAGCTGCAATGTCCTGGAGTCATGTGGTTACCTTTTGTAGCTTTCTGACAAGCAAACTCAATGGGGAAGAGATTCACTTAACAATCTGGTTACTAATTAACACCTGTGATGATTTACTTAACAACTGTGGCAAGAAAGGCCTAAAATGGGGCAAAATTAACAAATGTCTCGTTTAACAACAGAAATTTCGGGTTCAACTGTGGTTGTAAATCAAGGACTGCCTGTACACATTTAGTAACCATAATGAAATGGCACAATGAATGGTTCTGAACTAGAAATAGGGTTGTGGGTTCAAATTCATATCTCAACTTAGCCACAAAACGTACCAGGTGAGTATAGATCACCCACTGCTTTTTAGTCAAACCTACCCTAGAGGGCTGATATGTGGATAACACAATAGGAGACAAAAATATGAATAGATGAGATCCTTGGAAGAAAGTTGGAATAAAATCATTATTTAAACATGTATTGTGATTAAAACAGTTGCATATCTCTGCATTTGTCTGCTAGTTTATGAATTGACCTTAAATTGTTATTACTGTAATCTTGCCAAATCTACCCTAACTGAGTGTTTAAAATAGCTGAATTTTATCAAATCCAAGAAGCCTAGAAAATTGTAACAAAGATAATTATTGCTAATGAAGCTTAAACCATCAATATCCATGAGATTGTTCTTTCTTTCAGAGAAAAGCAGATGTGCAATTCACCCAGCCATTCAGTCAATCCAGCATGTAACTTAGTTTAAGTACTGCCCAGCAATACTGCTACTTTTACAAGTTCTGAGCACTACTGGTCACTCACTAGATATTTTCCTGGTTTTCAAACACAGTTCTTGCAAGTCAGCTTCATCCTTTTACATCAGATTGCACCTTTGCTGCTCTACTATCAGTCTCTCACTTTTTTGGATTATAGCCATTTATGCAGATTGCACTGTTTGAATGTAATGCACTTAAAATTAGCAGCATGCAACACTTCCAACTACTGAAAAAGTGCTGTCTAAGTCTAGAGACGGAATTATGAAAACAGCTAGAGCAGGCCTCATATGTATTCCCATAGCCTGACACTGTAAACTGAAAATTCACAGTCAGTTGTTAAAGCAAGATAAAGATTGTGGGGGAGGCTGGACAGGCCAGTTATAATCACTCCTATTTGATTTGTGCATCTGATACATGTATAATTTACTGTAGTGATACAATCCCATTCTGACAGCTTTCCAAGTCAAATCTTTAATTATAGTTACTTCTTGTAGCACAGTAATTCTGTGGTGCATTTCAACAAAATCCATGCATGCAGAAAGACATTAAGATTTAGCCTCTGGATGCTAAAGATACAAGGAAGCAGGGACATACTGTAAAATCATAGAGCCGCTTCCATGTGGTGAGGGAAATGGCTCCGGTAATTATGATTCACACTGCAGAGCCAACATGTTAGGCGATTTATACAGCAGCAACCAGAACAGGCTGCCACATCTCAGATCCATTGCAGAGTAGAGAAATGCCATGAGTACCTACAATATCCCATCAGCAACTGCACCCAAAGACATGAAATAAAAGAAGGAATCTTCTGTTTAATTTGAAATGTACACGTAAAACAGAAAACAAGTATGTATGTATGTATATATGTATGAATGTATAATTACAGGCTAGCAAGGATCACTGTGCTCAAGCTTGCTAGAACATCCGGATAAGCACGGGCTAAGGAGATGATGCCTTTTACCTCCAAATAAATGGTGTAGAGTAGACAACCCCTTTACTAAACGGATGCTTGCTAGTGACTATCATGTAAGAAAAAATCATGGGGCGCTGTGGGGTATCCTTGGCAATCACGACCACCCACACAGCATCGAGAGAGATTTCTAGGAATTACTTTTCATTGTAAAGGTGCCCCCCTTTGCTTCAAACAACCTCCCCTCTCCACCGCGCACAGGCAGATGGGTCACTCATAATCCCAGGCGTGAAAGATCAAGGGAATCAACCGGGAGGAAGAGTCGTCTGAACGATGGAGGCCGAGCTCGCGTGTCGGAACCCCTTTTCTCCGACCCCCCAAACCGGGAACGGAGCAGGAGGGGGAGAAGAATTGAGGTTTGGGCGAGAAGGACGGCCACCCACCAAGGCAAAGCCGGGGGAACCGGTATGAATGGGCAGCAGCGGCTTGGGCGGGCCGCTTGGCGACAGGCTCCGGGGCGGCACAAAAGGTAGTGGCAGCAGCCCCCCTACCCATCCCCTCCCAGGGCTCCCCGTTTTCTTACCGTGGATGCCGGTCTGGTGAGTCATGGCTCCGCAGCTACTCCGCTTCACCAGATCGCAGCTCAGCCCCGTCTCCGACTCTGGCGCAGGAAACGGCTTGATTGCAGCACCGCCTGCTTCCGGGTTCCTGCTGACTGGGGCTGGCGGGGCTGGGCGAGAGCCGCCCGAGGCAAGGCCGAGCGTGTCGCCAAGCGAGCGGCGCTCCGAGATGAGGGGCGGCGCTGCAGCGAGGCCTCCATTCATTGCTGTCGCCCACGGATCTGGAACTAGAGCTCCGCCGTGTGGGAGCCGGGGAGGGCGACGCGCTTCATTCAGCGTAGGGCGCAGCCCCAAGCCCACGGACCTCAGGTTTCTTAGGGAAGAGGAAGAGTACCATCCGCACAAGAAGTCCGGCGCCTGAAATAATGTGGCATGGAGTGGCTTGGCCCTTCTGAGCTATTCCGAGAAGAACCGTTTGCTGGACCGTTTAATACAAAGAAAAGAGAAGGGAGAGTTTAGAGACAAGATCAGTTTTTCTTCGAACCCATCACTCTGCTAAACAACGAATTCCCTCACCACTGTCAAATTATTCACTAAGGCTGCATTACTATTACTATTAGTCTTCCCATCGTTCCTATCACCCATCTCCTCCCACTTACGACTGTATGACTGTAACTTTGTTGCTTGCATCCTTACGATTTATATTAATAGTTTCCTGTTTACTTATTTGTACCCTATGACTATCATTAAGCGTTGTATCTTATGATTCTTGACGAATGTACCTTGTCTTTTATGTACACTGAGAGCACATGCACCAAAGACAAATTCCTTGTGTGTCCAATCACACTTGGCCAATGAAGAATTTCTATTCTATTCTATTTATTCTATTCTAATTTCCTCGTGAGTAACAGTGGTGAGAAGACCCCTTTGGGTTATCTATAAAGGCAAGCTTGGCTAGCCTTTGTGAGGAAACTGGATTAGCACATTGAGTGAATCCAAACACTTCCCTCATGGTTGCAACGAGCAACAAAAAAAGGACATCAAGACTGAGCCCCCCACTGCTGCCCCTCCACGCCCACCCAGGACCAACAGACCTATTCTATTCTATTCTATTCTATTCTAAAAAGGAACAGTTTGGAAAAGCCAGGCAGGAGGAATCCACCTTGGGGTGGTTCTACATCTCAAAGTGGGTTCCTATTAGTGCCCTGTGTTGAGAATTTCATAACATTATTTTTTTAAAAATATATCTTTGTATTCTGCTTGATGAAAAGAGTCAAGTTTGGCGTAGTAGCAGGTTACAAACTGGAAGACCCGGAATCTTATGCACAAAGCCAGCTGGATAACCTTGGGCTTTCTCTTAGCCCTAGCCCTAGGAAGGAGGAAATAGCAAACCATTTCTGAAATCTGTCCAAGAAAGCTGCAGGGACTTGTCCAGGCAGTCACTAGGAGCCAGACTTGAAGGTATATATACCCACCCACCCACCGTCTGCCTGCCTTTGAAAAGAATCACATTTCATTGAATTTCTCATGTATGACTGTGGAGATGCAGACTTGGGAGGGAGGGAGAGTTCATACAGTGAGTAACAAATTAACCAATCACATCTTAGTGTAGATGGTTGTGGGAATGAAGGTTAGTTTAAGACAGGGGTCCCCAAACTTGGCAACTTTAAGACTTGTGGACTTCAATTCCCAGAATTCTCCAGCATAATTTTCCAGCCTAATTCTGTGAGTTGAAGTCCACAAGTCTTAAAGTTGCCAAGTTTGAAAACCTCTGGCTTTCCTTTGAACCTAGACATGGAATTGAAGAAGTGGTGGTTCAATTAACAATGGCCTATTGTGCAAACAGCCTGTATGTAAGGTTGCAGGAAACAGCCCAAAGCATTCAGAAAGAATTTCCAGAGCCAGTTAGATCTAATGGTTAAGACACCAGGCTAAAAACTGGGAGAGCACAGTTCTGCCCAGCTGTGAAAGCCAGCTGGGTGACTTTATAAGTCTGTAGCCTAACCCACTTCACAGGGTGGTGGTTGTGGGGAAAATAGGAGTAGAAGAGTGTACTTGATAGGTTTGCCATATTGATTTGTAAAAATAAAGGTGGGATGAAGAAGTTTCCTCGGTTCTGACTGAATGGTGGTGGATATCTTCCACCATTCAGTCAGAACTGAAGAAGCTTCTTAGATAAGAAGCAAAACATCTTCAAGGAAAACAAAGTCCAGTTGCCTTTTGAAAAAGCATCTTTGAGACAATAAAGGTGGGATGTAAAAAATAAATCTAAGATGAAAAACAGAAGCCTCGTTTTCAGATTTAACGGTTTGGGTGAAATTGGAAGATCAGTTGGGATATGCTCTTCCATTAAAAGTTTAGTAGATCATGTGTTTGAAAAGCAGCTGCTTTGCTTATAGTGCTGCAATATTGCCCTGCAATAAATACATGTAGGCTGTGGGATATAAAACATAGTTTAAGATGCCCAATTTGGAAAATAAGGTAATAAGGCACCACCATAGCAATATGTGTTGGCAAAAAATTGCCTACTGTCTCTGTATTTCCCCTACCCCCACCCCACCCCCACTGTTCTCCATCTTTCAAAGACTCTCAATGTCTGCTTCTCACTGGCTTTGCTCTTTTTCTCCTGATTATTTTCTTCCAAAGTATCACAGTAACAACTAGCAAGGCAGCCAGCCCATGTTACCTTCTCAGATAAACTCAATGTTAATCGCAGCTCTGTTGCAAAAGGAGAGTAACAAACATTAGGGAGGGTGGGCTGTAAAGTAAGGTGACCAAACATCCCAATTTCAGCGGGACAATCACGCTTTATAACAATTTGTCCCATGTCCCGGGCCGTTTTTAAAAAGTCCTGATTTTCTGGCTTCATGTTGAAAGCCCAGTGGATTTGCTTAAGAAATCCTAATCGGGGCAAGACAAAAGACACTCTGTCTAATCCTCTCTCTCTCTGTCTCAGTACTTTCATTGAAGATATTAAAATGTTAAAGCAACAAAACGGACCCCCCCCCGCGCCCCTTTTACCACATTTTATAAGAAAAAACGACCAAGTACCATAGAGCTCCAGGAAATGCTTGGCTAGAGGGGCCGTGAGTGTTACTTCCTGGATTTTCCGGAGGGGAGGGGCACAGAGGTTGGAGGGCTGCTAGTGTAG